TCCCCCTCGGTGTCCCCGGGGCCGCCCCGGCCATGCTCCGAGGGCCTATAACGGGTAACAGGCCACAGCAGAGGCCGAGCACCGTCGGAAGGCGGGAGAGGTTCCCAGGATCACCGCTGTCGCCGAGCCTCCTCTGTCGTTACAGTTCACACTTTGCAAAAAGCGAGTTTAAACCGCGTTTTGGTTGGTCCTTTTGGGGGACTTCAGTGGCGGAGAGGGGGGGATGTGTTTGGGGTTCTTTTTCCCCTCCCGTCAGTGGCCTCAGGCTTGCAAACAGGCCACAGCAGTGGCCGGGCACCGTTCGTGGGACGAGCAAAGGCTGGGAGAGATTCTGAGGGGCCGCTCATATGCACCCCGGTCCCTCTCATCCGCATCGGCAGCCCAGCCAAAACGGCGCCACCAAAACGTACCCCCAGAACGGCTGGTCAGTCCCCGCCCTCCAGGACGGGCTGTACGGCGCAGGGCTGCTGGCGGGACGGGCGGGGGAGTCGTTACAAACCCAACAGCCTAAACCCGGCGCCTGAGAGGCTGTTGCTATCGAAGAGACTCATTCACCCATCCAACGCGAACCACGATAACGCGAAAACGAACAAACCGGAATCTGTCCCTGCCGCCCGCAGATGTTAGTGCCACCGCACCTTGCAGCTGCGGACACTGGAAGCCGGGGAGAGGAGAGGGACGAGGTGGGAAACCTCCGGGGGAGGCTACGGGAGCCGGGGGCGGGGGGACGGACAAAGGGGACAGGGGTCGGGTTAACCAGAGCTGCCCCGACCCTGCTCCTCGGGGGAAACACAGGAGAGGTATATTGGAGCCCGTTCAGCGCCTCTGTCGTTACACTTGACACTTTGCAAAAAGGGAGTTCCAACTGCTTTCGTTTGGTTCTTTTGGGGGACTTCAGGAGGTCAGTTTGGGCTTTCTCTCCTCCCGAAAGGGGAAAGGAGGGCAGGGTCCCGACCCCGTGTGTCCCGTCCGGAGCGCAGTCCGTCGGGGAGGCGAACCCGGCTGCTCTGCGAAGCACCGGCCCGTCCGCGTCCCCCGCTCCTCCGGGGAGGCGCCGCTCGCTGCCAGGCGCCAGGCGGGCGGGTGGGAGCGCTGCAGCCCGGGCTCACCTGGGCTTCGGTTCATCCTTGAGCGGGGGCTGGCAGCGAGCGGGGTGAGAAATCAAAGCGGCCCGATAACGCGTCGCCCTCCCGACAGCAATGGCAGCCGCAGCCGTTGTGGGGGGCTCCGGGCGCCGCTGTGGCCGCCGCGTGTTTTGGTCCCGACGCGGGGCCGCCCAAGGCCGGACCAGGCTGGGACCGGGGCCGTGGGAAGACTAGTCCCGCAGCCCACCTGCCCCGCTCCCACCGCTCCCCGCCATGGCCTAAGGGCTGTGGGAAGCCTCCCCGAGCCGCCGCGTCGGAGGCCGGACTGGAGCGGAGCGGGGGGCTGCAGGGAAGGGGGAGGTGAGGAGAGGGCCGGGTAGGTACCACCCCGGGCCGGCCGCTGCCTACGCGAAGTGAGAAAAGCAAGAGCACTTACCCATGTGGAGGGGTGAAGGAAGCTGGGCTGCAGACGGGGTTTGCGCCGCAGGCTGCCAGTTTGGGTGACTTTAAATTTAGCCTCCCTTTAAAGAGCAATGGTGCTTGAGTTGGCTTTTTTTTTCTTTTTCTTTTTTTTTTTAGTGCCTCTCAACTCCTTCAGAGCTCGGCCCCCTAAACCACAAATTCCACTTCCTGAGCGTTAGGAGCTTCTGCAAGAAAAAAAAAAAAAAAGGGGGGGCTTAAAAAAAAAAGCCGAAGCCTCACAAATCAGCACTGTCCCCACTCCTCTTTCTCTCTCATTTTTTCTTAAATGAAAGTGTCTTACCGTATTCCACCTCACAGGGCTCGCTGAAGTGACATCGAAGTGTCATTTTGGAATGGGGCTTTTCATTTCTCTCGGGGTTCTGCTCTAGAAATTATACACATCTATCTGAACTATTCTTGGATCCCCTTCAACTTCCGCAACGAGAACAAGTCACAGATTCAAAACACAGACTGACTCAAGGCGGGCAGAGGCAGAGGGCAGGGGATGGAGGAGAGGGCGCCCGCGCTGACGAGTAGGCTCCGGGTGGCATCTCTGCCCCCTGCCCGGGGACGGGGTCGAGCCGTGCGTGGCATTTAGAATCGGGGCTTAGGCAAGGCCCTGGGCGACGGAGACCTCCCCTAGACTAGAAATAACTTGTTGTGGAAAACTCTTTCTGGATAAATACGCCCAACGGCGCTGAAAATACCTTAAGACCCAAGCCTAGAGGTTTGCTCATTTCCCTTCGGATTTAGGTAATGGTTAAATATGGAAGGGGTAGGCGAGATCCCCCCCCCCCCCCCCCCCCTCCGGTGCACGGTGGCTACTGTAGCTTGAGGGCGGCTCAAACACGAAGGCGAAAGACAAGCTTCCCTTTCGCCTTCCTCGCCTCCGTGCCGGTGCTCAGGCTGCTGACTAGGGGAAGCTCCGTGGGGCAGGCACCGGCAGCGAGCACGGTGGTGGAGGTCCGTGGAAAGCACCGCCCCGACACCTCGCACCAGAGGGGACCTCTGCACCGCGCAGTCCGGCAGCCTGCTCCCTTCTGCGGAGGCCGACCCCGAAACAGCTTTTTCTAGGTCTAGCCTTGGATTCCTAGTGCAGGCAGGAAATCCAGCTCACATAGAATCTTCGGTATCTTTCTGAGGTGCTTCCGGGCTTCGTTGTGACATCTTGGGCTACCAGCAACTTCGTTTCGATGGCTGTAGGGCCACCCGAATTGCTGTTCCGCCCAGCCAATCGAGGTTTAGCATCATTTCCGTTCGGAAACGACTAAGAACTGAAGTCGGACAAGGCAGGAGCAAACTCCAGCCTCCCTCACGCCCAGGAGCGTGATGGCTTTGCGAGCAGATGCTGCTCTCCACCACCACCCCCGAAGCATTCACAGAAAAAACAGTCACTTCGTGCCTGTGAGCCAGCGTGGAACACGGCATTAACCCGACTTCCCAAAACCTAACTAAGCAAGCAAACATCGCTGAGAGAAAAATTGTCCAACCTGCGTGATGCTTTAGCAATGACACAAAAGGAAGTTGAAGAGCACGACTGAAAGTTCCTGGTGCTGGGCACAGCAGTTTTACTTACGGCATCTGTGCACAGCAGCCCCTTTGCCTTTGGCTGATTACTCTGAAAATCAGTTTCAAAATGTTAGGGTCAGCTTCAAAATGCTGGAATCAGTAGTAGTAACCAGATTAGAACAACTCGGTGTCATTGCGTGCATATGTCTTCGTTGACTTAGTTTGGATTTTGGCAAACAGCCTTCCCCGTTTGCCACTGCCGTGGGGTAATAAACTACCTTGCGAGCAGTGCTTTGGCTGCGGGTAAAGCAAGCATCACTGAAAATGACTATCAACTGTGACTATAGTCTATATGACTGTAGTCTAAATGACTATAAACAATTCTGACCTGCTTAGAATGAAAATACATATTCGTCTTCATACACCTAAGTTCAAAACTCGTGCGGGTGCTTTTGGTTTAAACAAAGCACTACGGTTCCCAAGCAGGGGACACCCTCTGGGTACCTCACATCCCGCGCCCCTTACTTCTCACCTACTGCTTTCCCAAACTGCGTGAAAGCCTTCAGCAAAGCCAAGGAAATCAGAGGGAAAGGCGAGTGTTTAAATGATCATATAATCTCTCATGTAAGAGCTGACACTGTACGGACACCAGGAGCACACCTGCGGCTCGCGCGGCGTCGGCTTTCTCCAATGACTTAGAGGAGAAAGCGCACGAAGATGGCTTTGTTTCGCGATTAGCAAAACCAATTAGCGCCTTACCAGGTGTCCGTCAGGACCGACGACCTGCTTCACTCCGCCTATGAGGACAGGGAAAGCTGACCTGTGCCGAGGGCGAGCCGGGGCTACCGGCTTCGTACCAGCTTCAATTCTAGCCCTGAAGGCGGCCAGAACAGTCTGCGGCCGCGGCCGGGATCGGTGCCGGGAGGTGCCGGGTGCAGGCATAGGCCGCCGTTACCGCTCACTCCCTCACATAACTCCTTCCGCCTGCGGCGGGCGCTTGAGGCCGGGAGAGGCGGAAAACGACCCCTGCTCCCTCAGCCCTCTGAGGGGAGCCCTGGGTGGGGGCAGCCCTTAAGGGGAGCCCTAAGAGGGAGCCCTGAGAGGAGTCCTGAGGGGAGTCCTTGAGGAAAGCCCTTAAAGGGAGCTCTGAAGGGGAGCCCTGAGGTGTAGCCGTGAGAGGGAGCCCTGAGGGGAGTCCTGAGGAGAGTGCTTCTGAGAAGTCCTCAAGGGGAGTCCTGAGGGGAGCCCTGGGGTGGACTGCTTAAAGGAGTCCTGAGGGGAGCCCTGAGGGGAGCCCTGAGGGGAGCCCTGAGGGGAGTCCTGAGGGGAGCCCTGAGGTGTAGCCCTGAGAGGGAGTCCTGAGGGGAGTCCTGAGGAGACTGCTTGTGAGGAGTCCTTAAGGGGAGCTCTGAGGGGAGCCCTGAAAGGAGTCCTGAGGGGAGCCTTGAGGGGAGCTCTTAAGGGGACGTCCTTGAGGGGAGCCCTTAGGGGGAGCCCTGAGGGGAGTCTTCAGATGGAGCCCTGAGGGGAGCCCTGCGGGGGAGCACTGAAGGGAGTCCTGAGATGGAGCCGTGAGGGGAGTCCTGAGCGGAGTCCTTGAGGAGAGTCCTGAGTGGTGTCCTTGAGGGGGGCACTGAGGGGAGTCCTGAGATGGAGCCCTGAGGGGAGTCCTGAGCGGAGTCCTTGAGGAGAGTCCTGAGTGATGTCCTTGAGGGGGGCACTGAGGGGAGTCCTGAGATGGAGCCGTGAGGGGAGTCCTGAGTGGAGTCCTTGAGGAGAGTCCTGAGTGATGTCCTTGAGGGGGGCACTGAGGAGAGTCCTTAAAAGGAGCCCTGAAGGTGAGCATTGAGGGGAGCGCTGAGGAGAGTCCTTAAGGGGATCCCTGAGGGGAGTGCTGAGGGGACCCTTTGCCTCCCCTTGCTGCTGCTCTGCCCAGCACTTGGCACTGGGAGCTGCGCCCAGGTTCTGGGGCTTTGCTGGCCCTGGCTGATGCTGCAACTTACGATATTCTCACATCTCATGGATTTCCAGCCCTTTTTATTGCCCTTCCTGCATTTTATCTTGCATCCCAGAAATATCAGTGGGTTGCTATCTCTGCAGAGGAAGGGACTGAAACAAAAGTGCTGCAGCTGCTGCAGTCCATAGGTAAGGCCTGAAGGCAATTTCCACGCCTTGGCCATTATCCCAGGGCTCTTTCCACCCCTGAGGGGAGCTTGCTACCTCTAGTAACAGCACGCTGAACATTGGTGAAGAGACTAAGCTCTTGTTCTTGGTTGATTATTTAGGTTAAACCTAAAGGTTAAACCTTAAAGCTTACTATTTGTAAAGTAACCTTTAAAGTGTTCTTGTATCATCATGAGACATTGTAAGAGCTGTGTGACAGTACCAAGTATTCTGTACCCCAATGTCCTGAGTTGATGGAGGGATGTAATTCATGTGAAGTGTAGGTGGTGGGGTTTTAACAAAGCTGCTCTAATGCATCCCCCAAAGCAAGCATAATATTAAAAGTTAAACATTTGGTAAGATACAGTTGAAGGCAATGGTAAGTACATGATCATTACCCCGTAGCGACAAAAGAGGGGAAGAAATAAGAGTCTAAGGCAGGGTGAAATTATGTTACAGTCATGCTTAACACTGCAGAGCTCCTCAATGTAATTTATTTCACTGTTCACAGCATCTGCCTGATGTCACCATTAGAGCTAAGACATCAGGTAAGGCACCAAAGGTGGTGGGATGCAGATGAGATCTTCATGCTCAGGAGTGATGAGACACTTCAGGAGGAAGGATCTGAAGAACAGGATTTCACAGGTTAACTGCTTGGTACATAGAAGAGGAGCAATTCACAATTCTCCCCACACCACCACCTCCAGCACCATATCGCTACTTTCTTTATATTTCTCCTTGCGGCACAAACATGTGATGTAAATATGTGAGACATTAATCAGTGATTTTGATAGCCTTTTTTTTTTTTTGATTTATTTTATTGCTGGGGTAAACAAAGTAACTTCTGCTGCTGTCAGGGCAGATCAGAAAAGCAATGATCACTGTGAGCATGAACTGGAGAGGGAAAATGGTGTTGGAGGCTGCAATGAAAAGAGGGATTCCAGCCTGGGGAAGGAGCTGACCCAGAACTTCCCTCCATTATGAATAAAAGAAAGCCAAATCAATCGGTTACAGAATGTAGACTATGCAAAATAGTCTTGGGAATTTTAATTCTCATATTGGGATGCTAGAAATTTCATTCACTTATGCAACAGTACACATTCCTGAGAGTATGCCACATTGCTTTTGTTTTTCATAATTGTGAAATGAGGTATTTCTTTCTGGGAAGGGAGGGTGTTAAGTTCGTGTTATCCTGGATCTTAGTCAATCAGTATCCACGTACGCATAGGTAAGCATATGATTGATTGATTGATGGCTTGGCTTCGTGAGTGAAGATTTGGGAAGGGCTTTAACCACACTTCCTACAAGCACGATGACCAAGGGCATGTGGGATATGCAAATCTGGTTGGAAAGAAGGGTGCTTAAGGCAAGCTCAGGGAGGACGGAAACCTTCCGCGGAGCAGAAGGGCAAAAGCTCGCTTGATCTTGATTTTCAGTACAAATACAGACCATGAAAGCGGGGCCTCACAATCGTTCTGTCTTTTTGGGTTTTAAGCAGGTGTCAGAAAAGTAACCACAAGGATAACTGTCTTGTGGCGGCCAAGCATTCATAGTGACGTTGCTTTTTGATCCTTCGATGTTGGCTCTTCCTATCATTGTGAAGCAGAATTCACCAAGCGTTGGATTTTTCACCTACTAATAGGGAATGTGAGCTGGGTAAGCATATATTAACACATTTTCTCCCCACTGAAGCTGAAACTTCGTGTGACATAGATGCTATGTTGAAAGTCAATTTACTGTGTGCTTTTAATTTCACCATTCCGAATCTCTGCTTCTACAGACTACTGTGTCACTGTATTTCACTGATTTTGCTTAAGTCTTGAGCTAGTTTGTAAAAAAAAAAAAATCCACCCTCCCCAATCAACCAAAACCATCAGAGAACTACAAAAGATATAATGGTGCAATTATACTAATAAAAGTATTTCACAGAACAGTTATGAACTTACTTAATTCCAGGTAATACATAGCTTTCCTCTTCCTTTCAATACACATAGCTGGTTTAGCTATTGCATAATTAAACATAACACTGTAATTTCCACTTATATTGTAGTATCTCCTATTTTATAGATGGTGGTGGTGGTTGTTGCTGTTATTTTAGTCTCCAGGACTAGCCTAATGGCTTTCCTAGGGGATCTGCATTATCTTCTACCTTCTCCTGGAAACAGTTACATTGTTTGGAGCCTCTACAGGTAACAGAATTGGCACCACATCCAGCCGAAAATGTGGATATTTTTATGCTAACGTGTCTTTAGGTCATTCTAGCTTGAAACACAAATGGTGTACGAGCATCAAATTTCACTAAGCACTGGCATAGTCTCTGATATAGAACAGTGACTACATTAAAATCTCAGAGAAACATGTAATTTTTTCTGTGCTGTGGTTCCACAAAAGGGCTGAATACAGGTTAAGTTCAATAATACAAGATTTAAAAAGTGTTTTTGTTTGATTTATGCAATCCCCTATGTGGATGATTCTTTTAATCGCTTTCATAGCTGTTGAGCTGTGTAATAATACATGCTTCTTGACTTCACAGGTGTGCTTTCTCCCAAACAATCATGTTCCAAATTTTTCACAAATGTTACAAACTTCTAACATGTGAAATGAAATTACTTAAGTAAAAAGGTGTCTAATCATAAATGCTATTAGGATCTAAAATATTCACTCCTTTAGCCCCCAAAATAACAAAATGTAATCATTGAGGCTTCTCTACCTAGTGGTGACATTGGATTATCAGATTGGAAAGCAGAACCATTTTCACTACCACTTATGAAAGCATAATTTACATGAGAACTCTGTATATAGTAGGGCATCCTCCTTCCCTGTTTCACTTGTTCTCAGCTGCAGCACTTGTTGTCAAGAATCTGAAGTTTTTATGATTACATGCTTTTTTTTACCTTATGCTTTTAGCATTCACATTGAGTTCTTACAGGATGCCTGTAAAAGCAAATCGAAGGGAAAGGCATTGTTAGAAGTTCATGCAAGCAAGATCATGGTAATTAGCATGCTTTATTTATTGACACATTAATATTTTATCTGTGCTGTTGATGACATTATTCTGGTGCACATTCAAATTGCAGTACATGTAAGCAAAGAGATTAGTGTAATTTTTTGGCAAAAGAGTTGCAGAAAAAGCAGGGTGATTCTGAACAGCCTCCCATGGGTTGTCTTCCTAGGATACTCTGCATAACTAAGTCTTCTGAAGCTGCAGCATGCCCAGTGATTCACCATCACTAAAAGAAATGCAGTTAGTTGGATAAGGACTTTTGCTTTTCCCATGATGTTTTTATTTATGCTGTCATTCAGTATCAGTATTTATTCTATTAGTAAACTTTAGAACCACACAAGTTCAGGAAATAACCCCTGCCAACTAATCTCATTTGCTATCACTTGAACAGTAAGGCAGTTATTGCAAAATCATAACACTTCACTGTTCAAACACACAGAATTTTTATGGTTGTCCAACTGAATTTTGTGCCTGTCACGTATTATAGAACATTACCTTTCAGAGAGACTTGCAGCTGGTATTGATGACAGGCAACAATGCATCTGTCATCTAGCCTTCTGGGCAACAATTATCCAGGTGCAAACATAAACTACCAGATACTCTTTGGAAGGAAAAAAAACCAACTGTTAGTGAACAAAGGCGCTCCTGATATGGTTTTGCTTACATGAAATTTCCAAGAGGAATCAGAAGCAGACAGCTAAACCACCTCAGAGACGGCCGTTTCCACAGGCTATACTGGGAACTACATATTCATTGGTAGGATGTGGGGAAATTTTGCAGAAATACTGAAGCATATTAGGAGCTGCAGAAATCACTAAATTGGAATTAGTCATCCACTTGAAGATTTAAATTAGATTGCACTTAGGTCAGATAATACTGTTGAGATGCACAGAATGCACTTCTTCCATGCAGCCTTCTCTATCATTCTTTAAACATTTGTTATCTTCTCAGTTATGCTGTTCTATTTTGAATGTGTCCTCAGAAAGAAAGTACTAACAGGATTAACAGCTGCATTCAGCAGTATGCTTCCATGCTTTGGCAATTTTAAACAACTACACTGCTCCTCCTGGCTTGCAAGACAATTAACATATGTGCTAGCAGTACCTACTGTTTCTTAATTAATAGAATAGTTGCAAACATTGCCAGAGATGAAGGCATAAGGATTGTTTAATTACATAAGCTAGCAATAATTAGCTGCTACTAAGGTTATTCTCGACTGGAATGTGTCTGAGAGGGCAAGTGAGTGTTCATATGACAATAGTAAAATACCCTGTTCTGTTCAAGAAGCTAGGACCATTTTACTGGATCTCAATTTTCAGGAAAGCGTGAAGGCAAGATGCTCGTCACATCTCTTAACTGCTTTGGTGAATTGCAGCTATTTGGTGACAGGACCAATAGCTTATTTCTGAGACAGCTCTGTAATATAAAACTTTAAGACAACTGAACATGCATATTTGTATTGCACTTAATTAGAACTAACTCTAAGACACAGATAATTTTTCACCTTATTTGAACTACCACTCTAATCCAGAGCCAGCAAGTAACTATGCTGTAACCAAGGGCTGTAGCTTAGAATTGACTAAACAGTAAATGCTGCAACCTTGTTAAATCATGAAAAATTTATTTTCATTACATATATATGAAGGTAAAAGATTTCAGTCAACAGTGTTTTGAACAAGCATTTCTGACATGAACCTGTTAGTGTAGCTAGGCTGAAACTTAAAGTTAGTGTTTTGCCTTTATTTAGTAATTATTTTCTAGTGTGTGTATATACAGAATTCATTTCCTGTTAGAATACCAGACAGTAATATTGCAACATTTACATTCCTCATATAAAATGCTGTAATATACATTTTCAGCTCAGTGTAGATATATAAATATGTACAAAATAAACATTATTGTAATTAATATATTCAGACCAGGTATCATTTAGCAACATCAAAAGCAGATGCACATAGATTTAAGTGAAAATGGTGAAAAACACCTTTATGACATTAGTGACCATTATTTGCATATATGAACTAGTACAGATAAAGGCTCCTCTTTCAAGCCTTCTGTGGGCATCCAATAACTTCAGTAAAAACAAAAGTAATTGAGAAGCTTAATATATATATAGATAATGTGTCATGATCAGATGGTTTACTGGGGTCCATCTTGATCACAAACGGATAACCATGTAAAACATACACGTTTGTTCAGAGCATAAAATATTGCACAAGAGCAATTTCTTTTGAGGAAAATAATTCCTGTTTGTGAACAGCAAAAATGGTTCTCACACATTAAAGAAATGATATATTTGCAGTTTCTAAACCAAGGAACATTCAGTAATACTGTCAGAACTGTCATCCATCAACTTCTTCCCAGCCTGTTTTATGGCAATGGTGTATCATTAGCAAGATTTGGCAAAGAGAGAAGGCAGATAGACAGTACATGTATATATTTATCACAAGCCAGACCAGATCCAATGGTTACTTAACTGAAACTATCCAGCAGCTAGTTTTTCTGACAATTTCACCCTTAAAAGAAATATGAGGGTCTTCAATGCTAGTCACAGTGATAATCACACGGTAGTAGAGTAAGATTCCATTCTTCTCTGCTTGGAAACCATCTTGTCGGAGTTCTCAGCCTGAAGGGCACTTTCCTCAGTATCACTGTCGCTGCTGTCTACAACTGTGTGATCCAAAGCCATCTGACCAGTCCTCCTATGTAGATGAAAGTTCACCCCACTCTCCTGTATGGAGTTAGTTATAAAATCTTCATCAGAAGAATGAAATGATTCATCATCTCCTGTGAAATGGTTGACAATGTGAATCCCATCAAAAGTGGGTTGGTCTGAGAAGTCTCTCTGGCCTTTGAGACATTTGATCTGTTAGAAAAAGCAGAAGTTAACAGTTAATCAGAGTTGAAGAGTTCAGTAGTAACAAAAAAAACCTTCAGAACCCCCAAACACCCACCCCCAAAACAAAAAAATAACCCAAAATGCATTTCTAGAAAATATATTATTGATGTCTTACTGGATCAAATTCTACAAGTAGCACATCTGAAACTCATCTGGGATGAGAATAAAGTGATTTCTTACTTCTGGCTGCCCAAGGACAGACCTTGAAAGAATGTGTTAAATAGTACTTGGAATTTTCCAAAATTCTCCTACCACTCCTAGAGCATTTCAGTTTTAAGGTTTAATAATCAAGGTACCTAGAATCACTAATGATAGATTCTTCTGGGCTATTTACTGCATCTTTAATATCCCCACAAGGATGGTTTATAGTTAGTTTTCTAGAGTGACCTATTTGTTCTGACATCCTACTTTTACAGCTCCATTTTTTTTCCCTCCTTATCACCTAACATCTCATTTGAGAAAAGTCCTCCCCCAGTCCCAAAGAGCAGGGTCCCAAGCGTATATCACCACTTCCACATACCCATAAGAAAGAAACCCAAACCCAGAGAATATGCTTAGTTCTCCCCACACTGCAAGATTTAGTGTCTTTTCATTATCTAGATCAGACCAAATAAGCTTTCAAATCAAGAAGCATGAAACTTCTCTTTGTACAGCATAAATAGATTGTAGTTCCTGTTTTAAGAAAACATCAAACAAGACAAAAATGATTTTCAGACCATGACAGATATGATAACACTTTAACTCAAAGCATACTGCAAAATGATAAACTGTTACAACCATGCATTCAAGCTATTCAAAAGTAAAACCTAAAGCTCTGAAATCTGACAAGTCCCTGTTAATTTAGGGAAAATAACTGCTCACTGAAGTAATCCTGAGGCATGGGTTTGTTTTCTTTTTGTGTTTTTTTTTTTTTTTTTTTAGAGTAATTGTCAGTTTTGCTAGTTTTTAGTAGCAACTATATCATGGTCAGCCTGACAATTTAAGAGTATTAAGCTAAAAATTCCAAGGATGAGGAAAAACATTAAAAATGCATTATAGCAACTTCCTAATATCACTCTGGAAGTTTAAAAAGGACGATGCACCAAATGCTATTTTGTAAGTGACTTTTCACAATGAGAAAGACCTGGAAAAGAAGTAAAGCCTGAAGAGCTTCTTCACATAAACCTATTAGTAGTTTCAGAAGCCTGAAGCAATATTAAATTTAATAAAAGTGCATGTAGGTCCTTGCTATTGACACCAACAGAAGATTTTACCTGTCCATTCAGGGAAGAAGGAATCTCTGTACTTACCATGGGCTTGTGCAAAAGATGAGAATAAAAAGGAGTTGAAAAAAGATCAAAAGTCATCATCATGTTAGAAGCCATCAAATCAGATATTAACAGCATATAAAAGCTCCAGCTTTTAATCTATATCAAAACATTCCTGTTAGGAATATGGGTACATGCTGTAAATCTAAACCTTGGTGGTAACTACATGTACTAATGTTAGCTGTCTGCATTTTCTTCACATACACATAGGCTGTAGTTGTTTCATGACAACCTTGCTGTGTAAAGGCAAGCAAAACAAAGTTCCACACCTACACAGCATCATATATGATGTAAGCAAAATCAGCTTTTACCAAATATTAGACCCTGGACAGTAACATGTCTCTGGAATAGATTTTTACGAGTTTACAAACCTAGATACAGAAAGCCTAAAACAGAGATTCTTGTGTCAGTTAAACATACTATCCCTCAAAATATCCTGCAATATGATCAGATTAGCTGCCACATGAAGTTTCCAAAACAGCTATCAATTTTAGTCACTAAGGAAAGAAGCCACAGAAAAACAAAACCAAACCCAACAATTTCTCTCCACCCTCACCACAGAAAAAAAGCCCCACCATACAAACAACTACAAATTTCAATTAGAGTAAGAAATTATACATTTTTAGGTATGCATAGTTAAGCCACTGCTTCACCTGCAATTATAAAGCTGATAGTCAATGTTAGTTGTTTTGAACCTTCAGAAAGCCAAGCCAATGACCTCAACTGTTTTCCTGAAGTCTTCAACACAATACCTTTAGATGAGTGTGTTTACGTAACATAACAAAATCATAGCTTCATGGTTTTAGGTAGTAGCCTTTCCAAACACCAAATGAGAGTCTGTGGAAAATGATGTTGGTGAAACAATCATGAATAGACAGTCTTTGCCAATTCTTAAAGTGAGTCTGGGAAAACAGTGTGTTGCTATCTTTTGTTATTCTAATGAAAGGATGCACAGTCTGTGACCTTCCAGGAACACTTCTTTTGACCTGCAGCTTCACACTTGCCTGCCCTTTTTCTCAAGCACTCCTCAGAATCAAGGTGAGCCAGACTGCTAGAGAGAAACATGAATGTACTGTAGAGAATATGTCCGACAAGTCTATTGGTGGTCATATATCATTAACTTCCACTACTACTTAAAAAACATTCATCTCAGCCAGGAGCACAAACACTGTAGCATAGAATTTGTCTGTATTATGGGGACAGACAGGCTGGAAAGCAACACTGCTGAAGAGGTCCTGACACACAAAGCTAAACACAAATCAGCAGTGTCCCTGAGCAGGGAGGAAAAATAACTGCATACTAGGCTGTAATGACAAGGGCATAGCCAGTACATCATGGGAACCGATTCTTATCTGGCATCTGTGCTATTCTGCACTTGCTACCTCACTCCTTCCTCAGTACAAGATATTCATTAGTAGATTCAGTGGAGAGGTAACAACACAGTTAAGGGGTAGAAGCCTTTAACTCCTTAACTCCTATCTTAAGGCAGGAGCACCTTGAGGTAACAGAGAACTGGTTCTTCACTGAATTGTATGGTGGGAGAAGAGACATTAATCGTAATGCAAAATACAAGACTGTGTTTGAATATGAAAGAAAAAGAGTTGCTACAAGGCTAGTTAGGAAACGGAACAGGTTGTTTAGAGATTGTATGCTCTCCATCCTCAGTGGGTTTCAACACCCAACTGACAAAGCCTTAATCCCTATTTTAAGTTCAGCGTTGGTCCTGTTTTAAGCAGGCAGCTAGTCTAAAGGCCTCCCAGGATCCCTTCCAACTTAAAAGATAGTCTGCATTTCAGTGAGATGTGTGAAAAGCATAGGCAGTGGGATGCATGTTCCTGTTCTAATAACAGCCATTTTCAGTTTGAGAAACTGAAATTCAGGAGCATTTCTGAAGGAGCCTGATGATCTGCAATTCTGTACCTGCCAAAATCACTGCACTTCTTAAAAATCTAAGTGCTGTCATTTGAATCCAAACGCATTAAATTACATTAAATATCAGGACACAAATTTATCACAAAACCTAGTCTTCAAAAGAATGTTATTTTTATTTTACAGTTATAAATTTGTCACTTTAATCTTGAAAATATTTAAGTTCTTCAATTGAAGGTAGAATCTGATTTGCACCTTAATTTTTGTTTTTATACATGAATATTGATGTAAGCAGCTAATCTCCAAGAAATTAAAATGATCCAACAGAATAGACTGGGGTCAGCTGTACACTATTTTCAGTTTTGTGTAGTTTCAGTGTTGAAGATACTTCAGGGGCATGTCAATCTAATATCTATTCAGGAGCATTTCTGAAGGAGCCTGATAATCTGCAATTTCTGTTGCAGCAGAAAGGCTTTGTAAGGCTTCTCAAAGCATTTGGAACTACTAGACAGCATGCGCTCCAATGCAATTAGATACCAGTGGCTTATACCAGTGTAAGGATCTAAAACCAGAGGTTTCTTAAAATGAAAATTTTGTACTCTACATAGCTTACAGCCTAGCAAGTGAGCCTCTGCATTTCTAATACAAAAAGCAGTATCTTTTTTAAAGATGGGAACATACGTGTTCTACTGGCTCAGGGCAATGGTCCATCAGCCTAATGTTCTGTTTCCAACAGTGACAACAAGACTTTCACGTGGTTTTGTTTTTAAGGGAAAGCATGTGAATATGACCAGTTTTTGCAATCCATTCCCTTCATACTGCCAAGCCGCCCCTCACTTGTCCAGAAACTGTTGTAGCAGACATGAGAGTGTATTTCTTCCTAGGTGCTTCAGCATCCATTTATAGACCAGCTGTCCATGACTGATTTAATTTTTTTTTTTTACTGTCTATCTCTACAGCTTCCTGTGACAGTAAGTTCCAGAAATTCCTTTATTTGTTTTAAACTAATCTCCCTGTTTCAGGAATTGCTCCCAAATTCTAGAAGTGCAGGAACAAGCATTGAAATGCGGTTCTGCAGCCACAATTCTTTAACTTATGTCATAATGCCTCCCTCAGCCTGCTCTCTAAAACAGATAATTCCTAAGCCTTTTTAGTGTCATGAGCAGGCAGTACTCAAGATGACTAATCATTTTAGTTGCCCTTTAACTTCCCTACAGACCTTTTTTACACTCTCTACATCCAAGGTTTTGTAGTAGCACTATAAAACATTTTATTTTGTTTCTAATACACTTCCTGTTGAAGTCCAACATTGTCTTGTCTGTTTTCACTGCTGCTGCATTCTAAGCAATGATGTCTGAGGACTCTCAGCAACAACTCTTTCAAAAAGATCTTTCCTGATCTCTAACTGCCAATTGTGTAGGTATGCCTTAGATTTTGCCAATTCACAGTGAAGTTCATCTGGCATCTTTTTAAAGAGGGACTTCTTGAGATTCTTGCTGTCAGTGTTTTATTTGAACATGGAAAAAAGAGCTTAGTAGGAAGTAAAGTATTATGCCAAGATCTTGTTCATGTAGCCAAGGATATCAAGATAATGGGAAATCTGACTAAGGACTCGGGGGTGTGAGGGGAGCACACATAGACCCAATCCAAACACAACTTCTCTCCTCCTCAAACCCTAGTTCTATGGTATCCTTATCATTCCACCTGCAGGAAAAAGCACAGCCCTTTTCCTTGCAGCGATGTTGAGCACAGTATGGACTTACACCCCAGGGTCTATCACTTTTGTTCTCTTTTGTACAGAAAGCCAATATCAGTTAAAGCCTTCTCAGTTTTGGGTTTGCCCTCTTTTTCCCCTTGTGAAGGGAACTAGACATCTGTCACTCCACCAAGTGACATTCAAATGAACCCTGGCTGTTTTTACTGCTTTGGTTTTGCAAGAATCACAAATCTGATCACATCTGTAAAAAAACCTAGGTCTGGTAAGCCCACGTGGTTTGCTTTTAATTCTCAAATTCAGGTCATATTGTCTATAATGACTGCAGCTTCAACCCAGTTTTCACTACAGCATGCGCATGTGGTCTTTAAAAGGATAACATTATTTGACCAAAATGTTTATCATTACCAATTCAAAAGCAACCTGAGTCAAGAACAGAATCTTAACAATAATAATGTTTGAATTTATATACCTTCTTGTAGCTAAAGAATTCAGCATTTTAAAGACAAACTATCTGTCCTACTGGTCAGCATATTAAAAGATTTTAATTTTATATACTCTTAAAAGGTTAACAGTGTACTTTCACAAATTCAGAAGAGCTGAAAAATGGCTAACAGTCAGATCCCTGAACCCCAGAATAAACTTTCTTACCTGATGCTGACTGCCTCATCAAGCCAGGCATGAAGGAAAAACAGTAGAGAAATTTAGAAGTTTTAGTACAATTCACAAGTTCTTCCATTTTAAATCATACAGCAGCTTTTGAAGCATGCTAATCAGTTGCCAGCAAGTTACATTTCTAAGCCCCTTTGTTTTTTAACTAGAGAACATGACTCAAATTTCCAAGTGAGACTTTGTTAAAGAGACTTCTACTGAAGGTCTGGGAGACATTTTTATGTTGCAACCTGTGATTTTTTTTTTTTTTTAAGTGAGGAATTCAGTGGTGCAAAGAAGTCAAACTGCTACTTTTTGCTCTCTTCAAAAGGCTTCACTGACTAATTCTTGAAGTTTACTCAATTCTGAAGTAGTAAACAAGAGTTTTAACAAAGCTTACCAATAAATATTCAACTTACTTACACTAGGATAAGCAAGCAATACACAAGTGAGATCAAAATAGGATACAAGTATGAACGCTGCCTTGGGTGAATGAAATTGGTTTTGGCAGAAGGCAGGATGTTATATTTTTATTTAAAGAATAAAGGTGGTGAATTCTCAGTGCTTCTTTTAGAGGAATCTAAAAAAATCAGAGCTCCCTCTGTCTCTACCTTAGTAACAGTAGGAAGTCTTAGTAAGATTTCCTGCTTAAAAACCATACACGATTCAAAAGAAAACCAGAAGGTTGCTGAAAGTATGATTTAACCACATTTAGCTTAAGAGAAACAAGTCATAAGCATTTTCAAATCTGTCCTGTAATTCATATAATTACAAACCAGTTAAAAATATCAGTTATGATCTATTAAATTATAATCACATTTAACATGAATAAAACCAGTCTAATTGAAGTTCTTAAAAATTCCACAGCATCTAATGGGCTCCCTTATTATACTTAACAGCTGACTGCTACTTATTGCTGACCCTCTCCATTGTGACAAGATCACTCTAGTTCAAGGCATATATTAATACATCACTTCTTTAAAATAAAGCTCTCAGTAACTTCTTTTGCAAAAATGCTTATCTCAGAAAAAGCAATTGCAGCATCTCAGATTGAATTAATAGAAAACACATTGTCATCTCGGAGACAATGTATCAAGCCAGGCAAATATGTCCAGTAAGTCATATATTATCAAATATTACATCCAGAAGCATTTCTGCACATGCACACAAAAAGAATGAAGGTTAAGGTTGCAGGCCTTTTCATGCTACTTTTTCCACTTTCATTAATATAAGTGACTCCTTATATATCTTCAGCTTTCTGAAGCCCATTTTTAAATATACAATTGTACTTCAACAGTGAGCCACATTCATACCAAAACCATCGCAACATGAACACTGCACAAATGGAGACATCATGAGCTAAATGAACAGTTGCAGAAACTAATATTAGCAATCCATCATCTGATGTAATTCTTAACAAGTTTAATGGCTCTACAGTTACAATGTAAATGGGGTTTCTCAAGTTCCCCAGCAGAATTAGCTTCTGTATATGAAAGGGACTGCTATGCATGCATTGTGACAGAACTATATCAGAGCCATTGCTTATTGATCTCTGAAAAGTCTGAGGTTTAAAAAAAGCCTAAGTATGGTTTCATATATTCTGCATCAATGTTTAATCCAAAAAACAACATTAAAGACATTCTTAATTTTCCTCAAGAATGAGATTTTACCCATATCATATGCAAAAGACAGAGGATAGTCTTCTGAGAGCTTCCTGATGATTTGTATAGCTCTCAAGATTATGTGTAAAATAAGTCAGCAACACATACTGTATATGGCAACATTTTTTGTTTAGAAACAGTGAAGCATTCTCTAGCAAATTTAACAAGAAATTTGAAAAGGGTCTGTGAAATGAGAAACGTGTTATAATTGTAATTGTATTAAGACAAAGCTCAAAGTTGCAGCTTTTATTTCAGTGTCAATTTCCTGTTTCCCTTCAGTGAACATTAAGGTTTTTTTTTTCTAAAGCCATAGCTATAAATTAGGACTAACTTGTCCTAATAATTAGGACTATCTTGTAAATAACAGCCATGAGCAATGCCAGACAAGGGTCATTCTTGGAGCCGATTATTCAAGAAGCCCAAACCAACCAGACACTGAACCCAGGAACTCTTATTTACCCCGCTTGCTCTTGTTACCTGATCACTGTTGTCCCTCCAGAGGAGGAGGCCCTAATATCATGGACTCACTGTTTGAAAGATGATAGCCGAGAGGAACAGTATGGGCTTCCCTTCTCTGAAAAGCTGCAGAGATGGCCACCCCCACATCTCTTACCAAAACCATTTGGATTCTCCAATGCCATATATACCTTTAGAGATTTATAATCTAAATTAGAATAAATTTTGTAGACCTCAAAAGATGTGTAAGGAATAGGTAAAAAGAAAAAAAAAAGGGGGGGGGGGATCACAATGAACATATTTTCCTTTCATTGTGAAGCAGATATGGAAAAGATCTGTAACAGTCAGAGATATCCTTAGTAGAGAAATTCAGAAAATAGGTCACATCTCATTTATTAGTTTCACAGTGTTGTCTTTGTTCGTCTTTTTTTTTTTTAAATTTAAATTATTAAAACTCTTCCAGGACAACTTTGAATCTTCTCAGATTTCCTAAAAAAGTCAGCTTAAGATCTAATTTTGTAACTGATACAATAGACAATAATATTTTCAAATAGGAAGTTTTACTATGCTGCTGTCTTTACTGCTCCTTTCTCCAAGATTTAATGTCATGTCAAAATACAGAAAATCCCAGCAAGTTAGCCAGATTTTGTTGAAATAAAGTTGTTCAAAACATTCCAGTGGGTTGTCAGAGTCAGGGACATGAGGAAGAAAGTGAATACATTTAAAAGTGCATTCAGAAACTCAGGAAAATATTTCAGGGAAGTTTTACTACAATACTAATGAGGATAAAAATACTTTTTCCCCTTGTAGTTCACCTAAACTACAAATATTCAAGTTAGCCTGAAGTGTTCAGGGTGGAGGTTGGACATAAATTTGGGGTTTAGTAGACTGGAGTCACCATTACATAGCCTTATGATTTGTCTTTGCTTTTGCCTTTCCCCCACACCCAGAAGCGATGTTTGTAAGGCAGCACTCAAGATTCTAATCAGAGTCTCATTTATCATATCAGACTAGTTAAGCAAAATAGAGCAAACAAACTCTTCTCTAAAAAACCATCCAGTGCATTATATACTGTGACTTCAGAAAGCAGGAAATGTCTTGATCGTGCTTACAAATAACACGCAGTGAGAGGATTTCAAAAGCTGTTTGCAAAATTACTTCCTTTGGTTAGTAGTTAATAAATCTCTATTACACATTTCATTTACCATGGAGGCTTATTTATTTTAAGACATAGTTTTGTCTTTGATATCCTTTAAATGTGGAAATTAATTTCCTTATCTAAAAATTTTCACTCAGCAGAAGTTTCAGTGAGATAAACAAAATGCTGATTTTTAAGGAGTCTGGCAATGACCTTTGAAATGAAGTTGTTAGCCAATCCCTGTAGGATCCCATAGAAAGAGCCTAGCTGCACTCCTATGTGCCTGAAGTTCTTGATCTGCACTATCTCAATCTTTCTGGAGTTCATAAATGTAATTCAATCTGATATAGTTGCAGTCTGACCTATACATTTGTTGCAGCAAATGCAGCAAACCACCTTGAAACAGAACCCCAAATTTAAGTCAACAGGCAATAGCAGAACGTGATCAGAAGTCAGATCAAGTATTAAACTCCAGGTTTGATAGGCCTTTTGTCAGCTCAAAGAAGAACAGCAGTGAATGACAATACTATATACGTGAACAGACCTAGACTGCTTTTTTTTTTGGTTGTACCAAAATGGTTGCTGTACTTCAAAGACAAAAACCTCAAGAGTCTCTGGACTGAGATTTTTAGATTTCTTTTGTCATCTATATTAGGACTGAAAGCAAGAGTCATGAGGTACTACAACATTAGATGAATCTGCCCCATGCGTCATTAACTCTTTGGAATCCAAGCTCATGTATGTGATCAACTACTGTTTAAGGGAATAATTACTTTGTTTTTGAAACTCGTACTTTTAGAAGAATGACCCAGAGGAACAGAACTGGCATACAACGTGAAATATTTATCTCAAATGAACTTCACTGCGCGTATCACTAGACAGAGTTCAAACTATTGCAGCATGTGTCATAAGTGAAAAGCAAAGAGCTGCAAGAAATTTCCAAACTGAGTCATCTCAGGCTTCTGGGCTTTTTAATAGCACTTAAATATTTGGTCTCTCTTTTTAACTGCCAGCTTCTTTAAGTCATATTCAGTCTCACAGTAGTATGAAATGCTTTGCAAAATCCCTGTGGATGTCAGAAAGTTTAAGTAAAATCTAGGAAATAGTTGTAATGCAGTAAAAGAAAGCCCATCTCCTGTTGTCCTGCTATTTATTTCATATTGCTCTGAATGTGATCTTAAAGTTCCTGACTTAAGTTTTTATAAGAAGTGGCTTTTCAACATTATCAGTTAAAAAGCACTTGAGCCAAAAGGAAACATGATGTTAAATGCATGTTGCGTATCAGTTTTACCATAGACATGTCTGCTGTATTGTAAACGTGACAAAGATTAAAACTAGCAACAAGTGCTCAGACCAGAAGGTTTCCAGTGAATCAGAACAGGAAACCAATAAAGCGATCAATGGGAGGTCACGACTTTTTGATCACTGCATATAAGGCTGAAGAATCTGGTTCTGATCTAGTGCTGTGTAATCAAATTAAACTTTGAAGTTCTGTATCGAATATGCAATTGAAATAGCAACAGCGCTAAGGAAGTACCCAACTTTCAAGCTTTTTTCAAAAGAAAACAGTCTTTGGTAACCATAAGCCAGATTTTATCTATTGATGGAATTTTTCTAAGATCTGACAAGTTTTTTGCTGCAAGATTGTATGCAATTCCAAAAAAAGTTCTAAGCTGACTTAGCCCTGGGAAGTTCCTATAAATAGCTACTTGGTAAATAGAAGGAAAGTTCCCAGCAACTCTTCCTACAAGAAGT